ATAAAAAAGCTCCTGGGTTTTTTTTTGACCAAAGCTAAACTGATGAAAAGTAGAAAACTTTTTGGTAGTAAGATGCTCAGTTCAAGAGCCTGCAAGTCTGATGGCATGAAGGTTCATCAATGCCTATACAATCGGCAGCTTGCAGCACCATGAATGCTGAAAGGTATATTCAAGTTTTAGAGCAGCATGTGGCTGAAAGTTAAACTGGCCTGTCTGGAGTTCAGACCTTTCATCAACTAAAAAATAAACATCTGGATCATCATGAAAAGTACAACAAAGAAAACCTATGATTGCTGAGCAGCTCCATCAGATAACAGTGGGATAACATTCCTCTCCCAAACACCGAGAAAGAAGACAGGAAGCTCCACGGCAGTAAACATGACCATGTCCCATTAAATTCAAGATTACTTTATTTTGTTCTTATAATTCTCAGTTTAACCATTTCATTTGTTTATATGTGTTTTACTGTGTATAAATATATATTGGTTACATGATCTGGAAATGACTGCAAAAATAAAACTTTAGAAACTCTTGGTTTGATTTTTTTCTAATTCTAAATTAAAAATTCTGAATGATTTAACTTACAAGTTACTCCCATAAGCTTCTTATACTATAAAGGCTGTAGATGGAATTTGTTGTGTTTCTAAGTCCCACAGCTCACCAGCAGAGGGCAGTAGAGAGCCTTTATTGTATGTATGATTATGACACAGGGGAGGTCAAAACCTCACTGAAACACCACTGAGTAAAATGCTTAATAGATATTATAATATTTTATATATATTACAATGTGGTATGATTTTCGATATTTCTGTGCATTGTCAGAATGCTCTGTTGTTCTTTGTTTTACTACTTTCCTGTCTGTAACCTCATTACAACTTTATTTCCTCTTCATTATGTTGTCCAACTGAAAAATTATTTTAATTACAAACAGTTCTAACATATGCAGAGGTTTATATGCATATTAGTCTTGTATTGTTCGCTATATATGTAAATCCATGAATAAATACAATAGTGAATTCTAACAGCTGTTATATTGTAACATAAATAAAATGGCATTAATAGGCCATTTAATGACATAATGCACGCAGTACCTGTCCTGCTATTGCCCACTGTTGTGTCTCTATTGACAGATTGCTGTATTAATGTTAATATGACATTTATTTTTGTTGCATTTTTAGTTTCAAACTAAATATTTAAGTCACTTTTAAATAAACCTGATAATCAAATAAAACAAAAAACATATTTTCATAATTATATAAAGAGCTTTTTTTTATTGAAATCCAATGAGACAACACTGCTCTGTTAAACAACAGTCAGATGATATATATAAAAAAGAAGAATACTGGTCATAATAAGGCAAACGCTTCAGCTTTGTAACACTCTGAAATCTTTTGGAGAGGTCTGTAACACTTTCACACACAAACAGTTTGATTCAGCATCTGTTTCTCATTAACACTGAACACCATCAAAAGGCTTTTAAAATGAAAGGGACTTCCTGCTCAGCTGCGGTATCTGTGCGAGCGTATCTTGCGGCTGAGGGTTCGGGCGATGCGGTCGACGGCGTAGCTGATGTGTCCCTGCTTCTTGTCATCTGCAAGTGACAGGCCCTCGATGTTTCCGCTGTACCACAACACCCATCCGGCCAGAGACACGAGTAAAAACAGGGCTCCTGAGCGGAGGACACAGATTCATCATTTTTTTATTACTAGGTCATGGAAATTCATCTAAACAGAACAATTACAACCCCAGCCCATTTAATGATCTAGTCTTGAGAAAGAAGCAAAGATTATCTCCTTAATAAAAATAATTTAAAAAGATGTAGAGCACGTGTCGTTTTAAGCCTTTTTCTGTAATAGTTGATTTCCACCCACAAGTTTTCTCATGTTTTTGTGTAACATTTTATCTCCTCATCTATTTTGTTGCAGTTCTATCATAAAGGTCACTCTACTCCTTTCTTGTGCTCTGTACTTCTACTGCACAGTAAAAGTTCAAAAGCTGTTTCATATTTGTAGAGTCTGGCATTTGTTTGACTTTGTTGCAGTTTAGCCTTTGATATTGTCTGATATTCCACATAACTGATATTTACATAGTTTGCACGGTTAAGACCACCTGGACAAAAATCACAAATCACCAGTAAATGGTAATTACATCATTGGTGTCATATATGCAGTTGGCTGGCACATTTTGACGGATGCATGAATGGATGAGTGGATATTGCAGCCCAGCTTCCAGCCAGGAAAGAATCTGCAAATAAACTTTGCAGTTATTCTGAAAACAGCTGACTCGACTATTTTCACTGCTGTGAGAAATCTGCTTTTGAAGCTCCATCACTTTGAGATTTGGCTCAGAGAATCACATTTTGTCTGTTCCCTGAAGGTAAATGGAGACATGGCAGTCTCTCTCCCACCTCTCTTGAAATTGTCTGCCTCCAGCATCAGCTCCCTGTTTGGCACCATTGTCAGAGTACTAGCTTTTTAGCTAGCGGGTGCAGAGGAGCTGTTGTGTGTGTTGTGTGTGTGTGTGTGTGTGGTGTGTGTGTGTGTGTGTGGTGTGTTGTGTGTGTGTGTGTGTGTGTGTGTGTGTGTGTTGGTGTACAGCTACAAATATGCAGACAGCTATTCACTGAGTACCTGAAGTTATAATAACTTTTGCAGAGAGCTAATTTTGATGCTTTAAAGTTCACAGAGATGTGCAAAATTCCTTCCTCTGCTTGTGAATTATGTATATGCTGCTATGACTGTGAGTTTATATTAATTCCATAATAGACCCATTTCTGTAATATACTTACATATCTATATTATTGCTAATATATATTGTAATATATCTATATCACTAAAGCACTTCTGGATGGATGCAAACTGCATTTCGTTGCCCTGTACCTGTGCATGTGCAATGACAATAAAGTTGAATTCTATTCTATTCTATTCTAATTCACGCTCCAGTTGACTCGTCACTTCTGTTTAATGTCAACCCACTTCTGTTTTTGATTAAGCCACACAAGCATACCAGAGTAGACCAACACGTCTCCAAGGTCCCTGTCTTGGATCTTCAGATTGGCGAAGACCCCCACCAGCAGAGCGGCTCCACCCACTACATCCATAAACACGGCAAACGCCAGAGCCAGTTTACAGTGGGACAACCCAGTATATTCGCCCATTATTGAGCTGGGAGGGAGGAGGAGAGGAAAGACTGTTACAATCTGACAGAACCACAGGTGAACTAAACCCGCTACAGGATCACTGATGCTTCCACATGTACTAGTGGAAGAATGATTCACGTTAACACTGACAAAATTAAACATATTAAATGTTTAAATTAAATGTTGTAAATACACAGAATTCAGACATTTACATTCTGATCAGAGTTTAGATTAAAGCTAAATACATGGGACAGAGGCCTAGAATCTGAAATGTCAAAAGAAGGAGGGACTGCTTTCCTGATTTGGTCTCTGAAAGAAATTTATGATCCTGGTCTATGAGAAGCTGTAAATACAATATCAGTCTCCTACCTGCAAAACTGGCCTCCAAAACCTGCTGACAAAGATGACACATTCAAATATTTTAGGGATTTTGAGCATCAGTGATTCTGTGTTAAACTGAACACCACTCCTGAGCGTTCTTAATCATAGAGTACCAGATAATGGTACCAGATAATATGAAGGCTCTAGCTCAAGTGGTTAACTAGATAATTATATTTTAAGATAGCCTTCCAAAGATGATTTCCTAAAAGACAAAACAAAACTGTTTTCCTTCATTAGAAAGCTAGGGACAGTAGGGACCTGAAACTTTCTACTAGAACAGTGTCTTTCAGGCAGAAAGACGACACTAGCTGCAGTATAATAATGTACCACAGAACCAGAAGCAGTAGGTTATACATGATTCGTGACTGAGTCTGCTTTAAAAACTGTCTCAGTTTAGTTTCAAGATGATCCCTGTTAGAGGCAGTTTAAGTTCTGGAGGTAAGAAGATCCACATCTCCGATGACAACCTGCAGCTTCCATAGATGCTCCATGTTACTGAACCAAAAGCCTTAAGAGGAACCACGAGGTTACTGTGTTAGTCACTGATTGTGTGAGCATCTGCAAAGTAATCTAAGATCGGCAAATGTAATAAAATACAAAACTTTACATGTTTAATTTCTTAAGACTATGGAAACAGTGTAATGTTATCAGCTTCTTATCCCAAATTTGAATTGCCTGCTCATCATAAGAGGGTTGATTTATGTGAAAGCTGCCTGTGTGAGACCCTTATAAGACTATACCAAACATATCAAATCAAACCAAAATGTATTGATATAGCAAATATTAAAAACAATAAAGTTAACCATAGTGCTTCACAGTCAGTAACGCAGACACACAGCTGCATTTTGAACTAACTGAAGCCGGTAAAGAGTACACTGTGCACAAAGGAGTACGGCGTCACTGTGTTTGACAGGAGGATTCAATCTTTTTGCAAGCGGTCAACTAGACCCAGAGCTGTTTCTGCCTGGTTTGTAACAGGAGAACATAACAATGTTCTCCTGGATTATGAACTAAAGTTAATTTAAAGACTTTCTTTCACACATAAACTTTGACTCACGTGCTGCTGTTGTCCGTTAAGTTATAAAAAAACAACGCCTCCGTAGACGGGTTTGTTCTCTCCACCGTGTTCTTCACTTCCGGCTTGATCTGCGCTCTTACTCACCTGCAGCCACCACGCCCTTCTGGTGACACGTTTCCGGTCCGGATTTCACCCTCTTCTTCTTTTTCTTTTCCTTTGCTTCTTGGCATTTTACAGCTTCATAAACGCAAAGAAATTTATTTTTAAAACGCACTTTTTATTGTTATAGTTTCACTGTATTTATTTAATGTGAGTGTTTTATTGATTGATAAAGAATAATAAGGGTCCCTTTTAACACTTTTTAGATATTTCTTTTAATTTGAATGGAAATCTTTTAGGGGGTAAAAAAAAACAAAAAAAACACCGCCCCTCTGCGCATGTGTGAAACAACTAAATCTGCGCGCGGTACACCTGTTCCCGCCAGTATAATCAGGTAATTGCCACCGGGAGTGTGCGAGGCGGGCTGTAGGGCCGCAGGTGTGGCTGGTTTCAGGTCATATTACTGAAGTATAACTGCGCACAGAACTACTGGAGACAAATAATAACAGGTTTATCCAAACACGCGGTTTATTACCGCTCTGTAGCTGCTGCCCGGCAGACCTCTCAGCCATGAATCCTTCCACCAGCAGAGAGGATGCAAGCCCACCAGGTAACAACATGCGGCCCATCCACTCACCCACAGCAGGCGTACGAGCGCCAGGAGTCAGACATTTAAACTTTTACACCTTCTCCAAACGCACTCTTTCTTTTTCTTCCCTGCACATGTTAAAAGAATGAAAAGTGGACTCGCCTTTAGCTTTAACGCAGCTAAAACCTGATCACAAACATTCCTGAGAAGCAGTGCTGGCTGCCCTTTTGTGTCCTGACATCACTTTTACTTTTAAATACACGGTTCTTGTTTGTTTGCTAGTTTTCTGTAATGACTGTTTTATTGATGCTCTGCTTCCTTCTTTTCATTTCACTCTTTGGGCTTTCACGCCGTTTTTCTAAAGCGTAAGCGGGCTACCAGGCTATGCGAGTAACCTCGGTGAGTTGTTGGTTTATTAACCTTAACAAGCGACTGATAAGCAGTAATTAATCTGCATTCGTCAACCATAAGAGTCTCTTTTTAAAACGTAAACTTTCGCTTCGTTATTTTGTTTCATATTATTATATATATATATATATTATAAATATTATGTCTTTGAATTTGGGTAGGACGTTAAGCTAGTAAAGCTAAAGGGAAAAGGTATGAGTTTATCAATTATAGCAAAATTCTGTCACTGCTACTTATTTTTGTATTATGCTTTGACTCGGGATTTTGAAAAACTGAATTTATTAATCTCTATAAAAATGACTTTTTAATTGAGAGCATTTCCTAAATAAAGCACAACCTTTGGGGATGAGCAAGAGAAAATAAAGTTGTGGCTGAACGTTGAAACCACAGAATTATTACTAATGTGGCCCAATAATAACAATAATTGGGTGTGTGTGTGTATATATGTATATGTGTATATGTATATGTGAATATATTATATAATAATAATTATATAATATTTTAATATAAATTTATATTATATTAAAAAATTATATTTGGTGACTTGTAGTCAAGGTGTTTGGTTAATTGGTGATTCTAAATTGGCCATAGGTGTGAATTTGAGTGTCTGTGTCAGACAGCTAAATTAATAAAATAAGCACTAAGGCCTCCAGTGTGGACTTAGTGTTTGTGTATGAAACAATAGATGGTAGACAGAGAGACACACTCTTGTTGTGTGGAATATCACCTAACATATTAAAATATTCATACTGATAATATTTATTAAAGGCAAGATGGAAACATTTTTCACAGACTTCAGGTTTATTAGTTACTATTTTTGAGATTTTTTCCTTTTTTCTTTTTTTATGTCAGAGCACTACATGCCCCAGTCATCATTAGCAGCTGCAGCATCATCTTCATCAGCAGCAGGAGGAGGAGGAGGAGGAGGTTTATATCTAAATGCCTACGAGGTCTCCTTTCCCCTGGAGGAGAATATAGAACGACCTCCTCCCTATCACCTGAACCAAGGCCAGCAGATGATGGATGGTATGTCACTGAAAATGTTTGTAATTCCCAAACAGTTGATGCTTTTGTTAAATTCTTTGACCAAAAACTAGAAAGAACAGCTTCAATCACATCCCGATTGATTGTTTGATTTTAAACACATGGTGCTGGTTTATAGAAGCAAAACTACAAACATGTCACTGTCCAAAAACATTTCGACAAAACATGTATTTTTTGGCTTCCTGGTATAATACGTATTCATAAACTGTTAACTTGAGATATGTATGTATGTATGTATTCATTCTTTCCCGTCTTTTCCCTCGTCTTCCTCCTCCTGCAGAGCCAGTGGTGCAGGAGCCTCCTCACTCTCAGTACAGCACCTTCATCCTGATCTCTAACCTGCGCGCTCACCTCTACGTCACTCTGGAGAAGAACGCCTGGCTGCAGAAGCGCATCGAGGAGCTCGAGGAGGAACGCAACTTCCTGCGCTGCCAGCTGGACCGCTTCATCGTCAGCATGAGGAGTCCTGAGGGTCAGGCTCGTTGACTCTCACCCCATTTAAAGTTTTCAGAAATAAAAAAGCATTTGATTTTGTGTTTTCCCAATTATAGAGTGGAGCGGGGATGCCCAGCGTGGTGTGAAGATCCAGCCTGCCAGCTCTCCTTCCCCTCCGTCCCCCATGACCACCAGGTCCGGCATGACCCTCAAACGCATCCAGGGATCAGGATCTCGGAGCCGCCGCAACGCTGGTGAGGAAGATGCTGACACACGTATGTAAATGAATATGTTCTAAATGCTTAACTTTAAAGTAGAGAAGTCTTTTTGTCATGTTTTTGTTTTGTTGGGGTTTTTGTAGCTGTAACCAAGCAGGAGTTTCATGTGGAAGAAGACAAATACTACACCGAGGACGAGTATGTGGAGGAAGAAGAAGAAGAGGAGGAAGAGGAGGAAGATGTGGACTCTTCAGTAGAGAAGGGGATTAGGAAGAAGGGCAGAGGGCGGGTCAGTGGAGAGCCAAGGATGAAGATGAGGAGGGTCTTCAGGATCACACACGGGAGGGAACGACAGAGAGGTGAGAGTCATGTGACAGAAGACATGATGTAATATAACTATAATTCACATAAATCCTGTTTTGGTTCTGATGTGAAAAGTTAAAAAAACAAAAGTTGTGTTAAAATCCAGAACTCTGTTTTTAATCCCAAAAACATTCTTATCCAAACTCCCCCATGTTGTCAAATATACATAATATGGGCTCGACTTGCATTTCAAACCCCAGCTAAGAAGTCGTTATTAGAAACTCATCATTCTGAATCAGCAGGAAACAAAAACGCTACAACAACACTGTGCTGGAGCCTCAGCCTCCTGTCTATGACACACTTACTTCACTCAGCATTTTATGTTCCTTCCATCAGTTAAAGACCCAGACGGGGTTTTGATCCGTTACAAGAAGATCCTGTCCACCTACCAGCGGGTGAGGAGCATGTCCAGAGCCTTCCAGATCCACGGAGTCGACCGAAACACCATGGCCTCCACCTCCCCCATCGCCGAGTTGCTGCTGGTGGCTCCAGAGAAGGTGAGGACTCCTCCGATTTCCTGTTTTATTGAGCTGTTCTTTCAACTAAGTAATTTGAAGAAAAAGAAAAATAATTTGCAATCTGTATTGTATCTGTGAATTTCCACTATTTCTTTTTTAAAGTCTACATTTTAAGGAACTCCAATGATTCACTCTAAGTTTATCACACTTTCCAAGTAAAGCGCTTAGACTCAAGGGGACGTTTCCATTAAAGTTTCTAGTGTTGAAATAATTCTTTGCATGTAGGATTCTCTAAAAATAAGAAAACTTGATAGGAATAACTGCATAGAGCTTCTGTTTGCATATTATAAAACTGAAATTATTTTAGAATCCGTGAACAGTCCAACATTTCCTGCAGGTGTCAGAAGTCGGAGAGTTTGAGGCGTCGAAGGAGAAGCTGTTGGATTACGCCCGGAGGTGCTACAAGACGATGGATGACGAGACGCACGCCAAAGTCCAGACCATGAAGAAGACTCACAAGCTGCTGCCCATCTCCTACAGGTTCAGAAACTGAGAGCGGAGCGAGGCGGGCAGCAGGACTAGCTGGTGGGAGCTTTCTGCACTTTGTTCTCATTTTTCTTAAAGTCAGAATATATAATAGGATGTGAGAAGATTAAATGCCAAATTACAGGGCATATTCTGATTTATTTATTTATTTATTTTCATTGAACTGCTTTATTTATGTTTTTGTTTGTTTTTCCTTGTGCAGCTATTACAATTGAGAGTAGTTTTTTACTCCTCTGAGCTATGACAGTGTTTCACACTGAAGACTGAAGTACTTGTTTTTTGGGGGGTTTTTTTGTTTTTGTTTTTTTGCTTTACCCTAAAAATTAACTGAAGAATTAAAAAGAGAGAGCGCATATGTTGTTAATTATAATAACTCATCTCTGAGGTATTATAATTTTCTTGAGGGAACTGTCTGATTCATCAGTACCTGCAGATATTTTATAGAGCAGGTATAAGAGACAGAAGTTCGAGTAAATGTGCCTCAAATTTTTGTTATATAAGAGAGAAATATTTATTATCTTTATTTTTGGCTTAGTGTTTGATTTTTTCCTTTTGCACTGAAATGATGTACATGGATTTTTGATGTTTCATTAAAAAAAACTTTATTCATTGATGTGTTTCATACAAAAGTTGTTTAAGTTAAATGTGAAAGTATTAACGGTAATGTGAATTTTTTTTCTTTTTTCAATTCTGATAACATAAGATGTAAAATACAATACTGTACAATAGATTAAATAACCTTAAATGTATTAATGTATTGTTTTCCTGACTCTGACTCATTTGATGTAATGAGGCTGACAAAGTGACAACGTGCTGAGCTCAGTGTTTACAAACAAAGTCATTAAGAGCTAAAGATATCAAATTAGACTTAAATGTTTTGCTAAAAAGATGTTATCTAAAAAAAGAAAAATTAGACTTGCAGAGTCTAGCGCCCTCCAGTGGAAGAATTTGGCGAATTAGTTCATTAATAAAGAGAAATTGTTATTAGGGATCAATGGGATCCAAAACATTTAATATTGATCCGGGCTCAAAACATAAAAATCTTTTCCCAGTTTTTTTTCATGTACATCTAAATGTATATATTACATATGGGTTTATTATAGGTCTATTTTATGCTCCACATCATTTGGGATTTGCTTGTAATTTTATTTATTTTATTTTTTCACTAATCTAATGATGAAACTGACCTCACAGCCCGTTGTTCACCAGTGGGCTAGTTTCAGTCATTATGCAAACTGAAGAAGGCTTGCTTTTTTTTTTTTTCTTCAAAATGACGCCTCTGACCGTAACTGCGTGTGTATAAGCGTGTAAAACCTGAACATAGTCAGATTAACAGTATTTTTGTTTCTATCTGCCATTCTGCAATTCATCTCATGTAAACAATAACGTGTAGCACAGCGTGACGTGAAAAAAGGCACATACCTTTGACGTTACGTGACGAACTCTGTATTCCTCGTCCACACGTAAACGCAAAAAAGGAGTTTTTAAAAAATCTCAGTTTTCGTTGATTCCAAACGCCGTTTATGTGGACGAAACAGCTGCGTGTTCAAAAGTACCCGTGTAGGTGCGGACGTAGCGTAAAAGATTTAGTAGTTTATTTTATTACTACCTCCTGTAATTTATTGCAGATTAGGCTACTTGTATTTGCTTAATTGTTTGCAAAATGTTTGAGGTGTGAAATAAACCGCAATGGAGCAAAATATGGGTGCGTGTGGTTGGAGGATGTGTTCGTGCGTGCGTGTGTGTGTTTTACATTTTTCTTGTAAAACAAAGGGGGGCCTGGCAAAAAAAAGTTTGGGAACCACTGCACTGATCTATGAGCCATTCAAGCATAAAAAGGCACCAAACTCAAGAAATAGTTCAGTTTTGTCTACACGCAAAGATCCCATTTTAAATTGTGTCTTAGACACTTTGTAACTTGCACCCTGTTGCAAAAACACACAATTTGTTCCCATTTCTTTACTTGAATCCTTCCAAAATGACAGCAAACATCCAGCAAAGACCTGAGAGATGCATCTGACTCTTCAGTTATATCTACTGTTCACTAAAGAAATGGTCTCAGTGGAAAATGGCTGTCAGGAAGCCATTCTTAGCAAAGGAGGGGGAAAAAGGCTGAGGTATGCCAAATTACACAATAACTCGAATGCACATTAAAGGCAACTGGTCTAAAGTAGTGCTGAATCCAATTTTGAAGGTTTGGCTACAATTTGTTATCAATATTTGCAGGAGTACATGGGAGGTCACAGGAGAGTTGTGGCTATGGGCATCTGTACAACATGGTGGAAGCTCTGTGATGGTTTGGAGCTTCATTTCAGCTGGTTTGTTGGAGATCCTATGAAAACAGGTGATATTGTAATAACTGTGAAAGCAGCTGGGAACAGCTTCATTTTCAGCATGACAGCATGGCTCAAGACTTTTGCACAGTACTGTATGTAATAATGCCATTCATTAAATTGTTATTTGCAATATGCAAAGAGGTCTCAGTTTTTTGACTAAGCATTGACTAAGCATTGAATTATGCAAAATATTCAAACTTGTACCCACTACAATAAACAGCTTGTATATGTTTATATTTATGTATTTATCTATTTATTTGTACAGTCACATGTATATTATAAACTACTCTTTTAGTTTTTAGCAGAAAAACAACATTATGATAAACGTTTACTGTCATGGCGTTCAAAATAGAAAAATATAAAATAAATGACAACTGCACAAACTTCATTTCCCACAAGACATTGCGGCACACAGTGGGTGCGTTTAGTGTCTGAGGGGGCGGGGGTAGGTCGTAAACTCAGTTTACCCTTTAACCTTTCTGAGCGGGCCAATCAGAGCGGGAGCTACGCTGGAAGTAGTAAAACCAGCCTGTTTGGACTGACAACCGGTTTCACCGAATAGAAGCGCGGGAGCCGCCTTCGGTGCCCAATCACAGTCGAGCTAGGCGGAACTCTTGTCCAACAGGGCATCGGAGGAGGAGGTGTTCCTGGTAGCCATCTTGGATGTGCGGAGTGATTGTTTAGCGAGAAGAATTGACATTTTTTTTAAAGGAAATAACCCTTCGTGGTGAATCGCTGAAGATTTAGCGGAGTGTGGCGACTGAGGAAAGCACTCGCACCTCGGAAAAATCCAGGTAAAGTGACGGTCGAGCCAGAAGTGATGAATTTGTGTGCCTTCCCCCTATTTTCTCTCTCCCCCCTCTCCAAATTGTGTCTCCCACATCAAATAGCGCAGCCAGTGGGAAGCTGCAGCTCTCGGTACTGCCAACAACTTCAAGTGTGCGCGTTTGCATTAGAGTCGGAACTTCCTCTGCCGAGCCGCGGTGTGTAACGCGTAGTTGAGTTTGTTTTGAAGTGTATGTGCTGGGCTGGAGCTGCTCTCAGAGTAATGATGCCCGCATTGTTTGTAAACATCCCGGGCTAACAAATACTACTCCCTCGGTGCACAAACGCCACCTGGGTGTCTGCTCAAAGCCTCTCAAAGAGCAGCCCGGCTGTCAGACACGGTCATAAAAGGCTAGGCGTCCTCTGTTGGTCCAAACTTAGTTCAGTGTGGACAGGAAGGGGCTGTCTCCAGATGTGTGCAGATGTGTGTAAAAAAACTAATGCTGGAGCTTATTTGACAGTGTTTCTTTATTGTAGGTTCAAGGTTCTTTATTTGTCTTTATTTGTAGTTCTGTTATTCAGACTAGGACTCAGTTACTAAACAGTGAGGCTCTTTTAAGTCGGAGTCCAGGTTTCCCGCAAAAGTTTTGATCCCAGAAACCGAGTAGAGGACAAAGAGTTAGCAAATAAGCACACACAGCTGGGAGTTTAGTTAGCTAAGGTGGTTTAATGTGAGATTACCTTTAGCAAGCATACAAAGTTCAACAGCACCACAAAGGCTTCAATCACCTATTAATCCCAAACCCTGAAAGTTGAACTTCCTACATAACTTGTCATCACAGAAATAGAATACAATTTTATTTATGCTGCACCTTTTAAACAACACAGTTTACAAAATGCTTTGGCAGACATACAGAAGTGGAATGATCAAAGTGTAGATTAAACTAAAAATAGGCAGCATACTAATAATAATAAACAAAACAAGGGAAAGCTGATAACCAGAAGGTAATCTTGTCTTATAAAAAAGTGTTTTAGGAAGACAGCCACCAATTTATCTGTTCTTTTTTATCAGTGCTGGCATATTTTATTTTTATTTCTTTCTGAAACCACTGATACTGCACTCTGGGAACTGGAGTTTTTTCAGGGATTTTCAAGGCTCATCATGGAACACATATAGCAGCATTGCTCTGCATTTTAAAGCATGGAAGCCTGTGTTACTTTGATTAACACAGGTCACAAAGTCACAAATCACACAAGTGTTTTTAACTTGTTTTTTGGCCATTTCATAGGCAATAATGTACTTTACGCAGGGGGGTCTCTTTTTGAGGGGGTGGCAAAATTTGTCTTATGCAGGAAAACCCTCGCTTTGCATGCCGGAGTCACCTGGAGTCCTTTTTTAAAATTTTTGTTTATACACTGACAAGCGTTTGGCGGTTTCTCAAAGAGGTTTTATCCACCTCCAATGGAAATTCCCTTCTTCCAGTGCTGCAACAAAATGCTTTTATTTTTTAACCGCTTGGTTCATTTGTTTTGCAGCTAGTAAAGCATATCACATATTTTTTGTTTTTAAATCAGTGGTTCAAATAAGGTACTGTGTGTACCAGTCATGCTTAAAGCTAAAGGCCTTCTTCACATAAAATGGCCTTTGGATCCACACATGGATAACAAAACCTCTGGAGAAATACTTTTTTCCCACTCTGGAAGTTTATCGGGATGTAAAAGGTGATGACAGTGCCGTTTGTTTTTTTCCCTCTATGTGCCTTGTATCACTCGGCATCTAAACTCAAAAACTAAAGGTGTGCAAATCTCTGACAGTGTCACTTTAGCCACAGGACAGGAACATAAAATAAAATTGTAAAGGACATGTGCTCCATGCCTTGAATGAGTGAACAATGATGAAACAAAGTGTGGCCTTTGTGAATCCATAGATTTCTCCCTTGTAACTGGGGATCAGTACATCTGTAGTAAACCTATGCTGCAGAGACCTCTATAACCTATATGTGCACCTACTTAGAAACATAATTACATATCATGTTGACACAGCCCACAGCTACTGTAATTGGCCTGTTCAGTACCTTGGACTCCTCCTTTGCATTTCAGCTACTTTTGTGTTGCAGTTTTTAAATAAATCGGCGAGATTATAATAATCATAGCCTCAATGTAAGGACTCTCAGATGTCAGCAGTTTCAGGAGGGAGGGATGTGAGGGAATGTACAAAGAAGTTGAAAAAGTTGAGGGTCAAATATGTTTGCCTGTAGAAAAAAAACCCATCACAAAAGTCCCAGCATTTTTTTCTATCAAGGCTGGCACTGCATCTAAAATACCAGGACACAACCACAAGGTAATTAACGTGTAATGCACCACATACAAGCATGAATGCCTGCAGGCGCGTCAGCATAGGTTATGTTATAGGCTGTCATTGCAGAAGGTTAAAACAGCTGTAAGAAGTCTTCTGTCATCATGTGGTAACCATAGACAGCCATCTTTAAAAACATTTTACAAGCGCTATACAAATACAGGCCATTTATCATTACCATGTTTTTTTACATTTTCCAGATATCCAAATATTGACTGCAAAGTTTTTATGTTTTGTACTGCAAATGTAATAATGTACCAAATACT